GCTGCTATTTTTTTTTGTAAATAAAATTTTACTGGAACACAGCCATATCCATTTGTTCATGTATTGTCTATGGCTGCTTATATGTTCTAATGGCAGGTTTGCGTAATTGTGACAAAGACCTTTTGGCCCACGACTCTTGAAATATTTGTTATCTGGCCCTTTAAGAAAACATTTTGTGACAACTAATGTAGCCTAACAACTAACTCTTGAGTTACCTCACAGTCTCCCCATGTTGGCAAGTATTTTAAAGGTATCAACAGCAATGTTTTACAATATTAGGTAATAGGAGAGCTATTAAACATATTAAACAATGCATATTAAATCATGTGGACTCTGGAGAAAATATAATCAAATATGACTTTCTGCTTGATAACATGATAAGGGATTACAAATATAATTGAGTTTAACTTTAGAATATTTGTTGATAGTGCATTATGGCTTATACTGCTTATGTGAAATACCATAGACAAATTTTCCAAGGGTAAAAGTTTAAAAGAACTGTATAGAAGGAATTATGTAGCTCACAGAGCTCAAGATTGGAGCCTCTGGCATTTTTACACTTTATCCAACTCACCTTCAAAATATACCTTTTAATTAAATCAAAGAGAGATGTTATTCCTTATTTTACCACAAATGAAAACAAAGAGAGTTAAAGAAATATCCTGAACACCCAATTAAAGTTGTAAACATAGAAAATGCAATTTGTCACAATTACTAATATGAACCACGAGGTTAAGCTGTTGTTCAAATCCAGTATGGTGCAAATCAGACCATTCAGAACAGGAAGCCTTAAATGGCAACAAGAGGAGACCTTCCAATATTGTTATTACTGAACTTATTCAGTGGGATGGGTATGTAACTATTATTCCTTCCAGTAGAGATAAACAAGTATTTGTAATTAATATCATATAGAGAGTGTGTGGCATGTGTAGCTTTTATTTGTTAGTTACTCTCAATGATTTATTTCCCAGAAATGTGATACAAAGGGAAGGACGTTATCCAGAGAAAGTAAAGTGACTTAGCCTGACTGTGGACCAACTGCAACTCTAGTAATCTGTATGTTACTCTTCACCTGGAAAAAATCATTCTCTCCAGGTTTTTATTTGTGCATTCATTCTACAAATTTTGTTGAGCACCTACTGTTCTAGGTACTTAGGATACATCAGTGAATAGAATAGTCAAAGATATCCTCATCAATCTCTATTCTTGAATGGGACATAAAGAATAAATAATAAACATAATGAGTAAGTAAATTATATGGTATGTTAAAATATGATACACACTTTAGAAATGCAAGATGGGGAGCACTGGATCAGGCTGAGGGCGGCACCATACAATTCTATCCTTTATATTTAAATAGAAGTCTGGTTTCTATGTACCTTGCATAAGCTGGGCTACCTCTAAGATTCTTTAAAATATGAAGATTAAATGATATAATAAAAACATTCCAAATATTCTGCCCTTTGTTTTGTAACATTTTGACGATGATTAACTTGAGAAGTACCTAGTACTGGGAAGGCTCTCAACAAATTTCTAATAAACTAATCAACCAATATCTTAGAGGAATCTCATGCTGAATAATTTTGATTTTTGATTTTTATTTAATTTTTGAGTGATTTAAAATTGCTGCAACAATTTTAATCACTTGAACAATCAAATTACACATTTTTTATTCATCATGAGATTTCTCTAAGATATTGGTTGATGAAACCATCGTTCTCAGCAAACTAACACGGGAACAGAAAACCAAACACTACATGTTCTCACTCATAAGTGGGAACTGAACAATGAGAACACATGGATACAGGGTGGGGAACATCAGACACTGGGGCCTGTCAGGGGTTGGGGGATAGGGGAGGGGTAGCATTAGGAGAAATACCTAATGTAGATGATGGGTTGATGGGTACAGCAAACCACCATAGGATGTATATACTTATGTAACAAATCTGCATGTTCTGCACATGTATCCCAGAAGGTAAAGTGTAATTAAAAAAAAAAATTTAAAGCTGCTAAAAAAATTGTTGCTGTAGTGACACCATCCAAGATTTCATACCAAGAGTAAATATACATAATTTGTATTATGATTTTAGTACAGATAAATGCCATAAATGTGCTTATAAATCAACATTTCTGCAGTCACTATATTTAATATCATGCATAAGGATGAACATTTATGTGGCTCCCAAAGTATACTCTAACATCTGATTTTGGCAACGTAGTTACATCACTTTTCAGTGCAGAGTCTACGGAAGTTTAAAAATAGAACATAGAAGTTTAAAAATAAAAGAATTCTGTCTCAACTTTAAGACATTAAAAAAAAAGTGACCCAATGGGAAACTGTCTAAAATAATATAATTAAACTGGTGAAAAGTCACGCTGCTTTATGAATAAATGGTATTATGATCCACAGATGGACACCAGTGATTAAACAGAAATACCCTAAGATCACTATTGAATGGGGGATTATTGTCATTGCACTGCACACATATGGGGATCAATTTTGTGTTTAAACTGAAAGCAAGAAGAGACTTTTTCTCGAGAGCCACTTAAAAACCATTCATCTAGAAAGCAGATTTGGCTGGAAGAAAGCAGTTGTCACAGAGATTACAACTAGGGAATGACGGGGAGAGAGTGGCAAAGTCGGAACATTCCACAAACACCAGAATTGACGGTACGTATTTAAGGAAAGTAAGAATTTCCAAAGAAATGAGGCATTAGAGATTCATTTCTCCAGACTTTGAGTAATTATGTTAGTAAATGTTAAATACCTCATTGGACATCCCATCAGATACCAGATTGAGACAGGAATGATGCAGGACATACAGAAGAACTAAGCAGGAACCATACACTTCGTTAAGAATCTTTCTTAGATACTTTCAGAATCCCTGTGAAGTCAATGTCAGCATGGTTTCATCATTTTTCTATAAGAGCATTTCCCTAGAATACAGTACTGCATTCTTCATGCTGTGAGTTGACAATGCTAAAATAAGAAATGTATACTGCCTTTGGGAAATTTCAATTATTTTTGTTCTTTTCCTTTTTTGAAGTGATCAAACATTTCTGTGAGGGTTACAGAATATTTTAAAAGATTTTTCTAAATATAAGATTGACTGAAGTAGCTTGCTGATGCTCTCATGCATCTAATTAACAGATCAAGGCAAAAGTGAGAAAATATGAATGTTATTCTGGAAGTTCACAGGTAATGTTAAATGATTGTTTTAGTGATTCACTATGCATAAGAAGCTGAAATCTGACCAAACACTTATATGCTGCATTCCACAAAAAACACATTTTTAAAATGATCTTCAATTTTATATTTTAATGGCTAATTATGGTTTTCTATATTATCACCCCAAAATAGAAAGGGAATTTAGATTTTTCTTGATATCTAATTTATAACACTTATGTTATTTGATGTAGAGAATAAAATATTCAATTACTCTTTGAGATGTTTCTCAAAGCATACTGATTATAAATATTAAATTCCCTTTACTTTTATAATTATTGTTCTCAAGGCATGTAATAATCTTCAATTCAGCAATGCACATATATTAACCTGAAAAATACTTATATCTAGAGCTTCAATATTGTGGAGTCTTTGAGGTTCATACCATTAGACTGTTTTTGTTCACCTTAAATATACACAAAATTTATTTTTTAAGAAAAGGATCTGGAGATTGATTGCCCAACATCGTGAATGTACTTAACACTATTGAATGATACACTTAAAGATGGTTAAGACGGAAATTTTAAACATATTTATGGGGTACGTGTGATATTACAGTACGTAATTGTAATGATCACATCACTGTAACTGAGATACCCATCACCTCAAATATATATCATTTCTTTGCATATCATTAGACTTCGATACAATAGGAACTATGTGATAAGATAGAAACAAAAGGGCAAGACTTCTAGAAACTTCTTTGTAGGGAGATGTTTAGAAGATTTCAATAACCATGTCACCATGATACCTTGATGGTTTATAAATGTGAGATGGTTTTATTAGTGTTGTTTTCTGAACCATGTAATAAAACTGGAGCAGCACCATTCCAATAGCAGCAGTTATTAATATTTCGGCAAGGTTGGAGGATAACTGCCATGTACCGTGCTCCCAGCAATTTAAGTCATCCTTTTTTGGTCACTTCTGTCAACTAAGTAAGAGATCATCATCTAGTGTTTGCAAAGATATGATATCTATGTTCCAGGCTGCCCCACTGTAAACTGCTTTCATTCCATTGTAAAAAGACAAATGTATTAAAATAAAAGAATAATGGAGAAAATTGCTTAATACTGCCAATATTAAGATTAAATACATTCTGGTTAAAGATGGCACTGTTCACAAACTTTTGGCAACACAATTATTATTGCTGCATTTTTGCTTTCTTTTTTGGTTTAGAAAATAAAAGGGCACAGTTTCCTAGGAGTATGCATACTTTCTGTGTTCTGTGTGTGTGTGTGTGTTTGTGTGTGTGCCAATTTGAATTCAATGGAGAATTAATAAATGTTTGAGTTTTCACCAGTTACTAGTTTCCATCTTCTCTGTTGGTTAATGACATTTTGGGCACATGGCAAAGCTTGCCAGTTTGGTTGTTAAAAGTCTGTTTAAATCTCAAACTGATTCAAATCTTATTTCCTCCTTACTCCCTTTCTATGCACAGACTTGTTGGGGATTTTGGGTGTATCCAATGTACAGGCTCTTGATAAGTTCTGGAGGACCTTTCTGGCACCAGTTTTGCCCACCCTTTGTAAGATGTGGGCCCCATCAGGCTTCCTGTCACCATCTTTGGGACTTAAGTTGCTAACTTCTGGACAAAGAGGCAATGCCATTGAATGTCCTGTTACATATAAATGATATATGTATAGTATGGTGCTTCATAGAGCTTAATTTAGAATACACTTCTTTAAAGCTTCACTTCCATTCTACTATGATACATGTGCCCTTTCCCTCCACACTCGTGAAGATAGCAAATATATAACAATAAAAATTTAATTACCATGGCTGTTACATCTGGATGTTTCCACGAGCCTGCCATTTTGATCATAGCAGGCCATTGCTTGGTAACGATATCCTTGTCCACACTCCTTGATGTCTCCTTGTACTTTCATTCCCAACATCACTTCCACTTTTCCCTCTGGTAAAACACAGTCTGACCAGTTCCCCACAGGCTGGGCATTGTACTTGTCACAAGGACAATACTGAGTCTCAATCAGCGGATACAAATGGGAATTTTTACATTTTTCCTTCTTTTTACTTTTTCCTGTGGAAGAGAAACCACCAGACAATTTAAGCTGGAAAATACCATTATTAATTTCACACATCCCTAAATTTTCTAGTTTCCTAATTTCCTTTTCTCCATTTTTAACCTTATTTAACAGTAGCCTATAAATCCATGCTATTTTCTCAACTGACAGTGTTTTCTATATAGGCTGTTGTTGGTATTGCGTGCTTCGCATAGTAACATTTGTATTGCTTTTTCAGAACACTTCTTTTCACATACTTTTAAATTATGCTACATATAACTAATTACATATATTTACTTCTCACCTTCATAAGCTGTGTTATATAGTTTTCGACAGTCTTCATTACATAGGTGGTTCATTTTTTAACTTAAGTAATGAATAGTCTACTAGCACCAATATTTTTAGGTTCTTTTGCCATTGGCAATACTTCAGATGCACCGAGCTTTAGTTCTTGCTCATTATATTCCTGCTTTCAGTCATTATTATGGCTTAAAATACAGTTTTCAGATAACAGAATTAATGCTATATGCCCCTTTCTAGGTGAGAAAGGTTAATCTGAGGCTCTGATAATGAGAATGGGTTAAATAAATGAAGTAGCAACTTTTTCTTTTGTCCCCCAAAGACTTTGCTCCAAGCACTTTACAGTCTGCAGGCAGTCCACTAAAAGATCATGTCTACACTGGAAAATAATGTACCACACATTAAACAGGGAGTCAGAGTTCAATTCTCAAAGCTTCCTTTTCTTTCTACTGAAAGAACATAATGCTTTTATGACTGCCAACTGAATTTAAAATACACATCTGAATCCACTGGTATGTTATCTTTCAAGTACATTGTCAGAACTCTCTTAGTCTAACTCGTATTGTGTTTCTCCACTTTGACGCGTACTGGCTTTGGTGTCTCAATTATTCTTACCAACAAGAGTGCGCTTTCTGGTTCTAACTGCACCACAGTCTCCATTGCATGAAGAAAACTTGGACCAGCTGGTCAGTTGACAGTCATCCTGGCAGGGGATCTGGCAGGTTTGGGTAAGGGCTGGCACAGGGCCTGCGTACTGTAAGCACTCATGGATTCCAGCCTGTCCTCCATCTTGCTTGCGACAAGTAATGGCTAAAAGAAAAACATAAAAGTGTTATAACAAATGCAAACATCTCATTACTCTATAATTTAGAAGCTAACCTAACATTTGGTTAAGCAGTCAGAGAAAGCCTCTTTTAATTCCTTCCTTACAGTAGAAATCTTATAGGAGTATTTCTAATAATCACAGTTGCCATTATATTGGTTTTATAGTTTTTTTTTGTTAATAACACATAACCTTGAGTGATTTTTGTGGCACAGAAAAGCAGACACATGAACACTTGGCATTTAGCAGTTTTGATTACATCTATTCAGGGTTTCAGTTGATGTCACATGTAGGATATTTAGAAATAAAGTTTTAAGAATGTAAGACAAATCATACATGGGTTCTGATAATAGTTTATATTGAGCGTGGGATGTTTGCAGAGGGACTGGGAGACACCAGGTACCTCTAATATTGTTTGATATGATTGGACACCCTAGAATATCTATGAAATTGTGTTTTAGTGGCCACAAGCTGGTTGGTAGGTTGAGGTCAGGGAGGTGTGTTTATAGAACTTATCATGAAACTGCAATGGCATGAAAAGTATGTTCACTGTAGTATACTGCAAGTTTACTAGGATGGGTTGGAATGATGAATGGATGGGCAGTGTCAAAGTCCTCCATCTCTTCCTTCTACAAGTTCTTCACATGCACAAACATCAACTTTGCACTTAAAAATATTCAATATTCTTAATTCATTATGTTAAAATTTATATTTCTAGAATTACATAAAAATTCTTAAAAGTTTCAATTGATAGAAATTATTTCTTCTAAGATATTGTTCTACTGACTTAAAATAAGAAATATTTTTATCTATTGAACACACACACACACACACACACACACACACACACACACACACGATTGCTTTATGGTAACAAGTCTTAAAGAAAAAGAGCATGTATGTTTAAAGTCCATTTTCTCCCTAAGCCATTTCCTTCCTATTGGTTTTAGAAACAACTCACTTATTAATTGAGGAAGCAGATGGAACATTTAAACCTTGGTCCTAAAGTTGTCTTCATTGAATTATCTTAAATGGCCTCATTCAGAGTGATTTACATGGCTTTTTCAGGTTTATGATCTAGGCTGAAACTGCCGCTGATCTCTGCCCTCTTCAGGATTCCACCATCATGAAATCAAGGTGAAGGAGCCTGACATTTTTGACATTTCTTCACCTGCCATTTGGAAGCAGGATTGACCCTTTTAAATACTTTAAACTTAGTAAGTGCTGATGGCTCATGGACAAAGTTGCCCAGGGCACAGAGGGCCTCAGGTTAGACAACAGTATCTGGATCTATGTACTAAAACCTCATGCCTAGGAGTGCAAGGCTTTGTAATAGAGTTTGTAAATGGATATAACTAGCAATTGTAGCAAGGCCAGATGTTCTCTGTGTAGTTGAACACAACTTAAGGCAACTGCTTTAGTCCTAATGTAAAAGACCCTTCTACATTGTTCAAATGTGGATGTACTTCCCTATTTCTTAGCTTTAGGTGTGCTTTTCATTAAGTGCACATGACATTGGAAGAGACAAGTTGTCAGAAAAGAACAGGGGCCCCTAAAATTTTAAAAGTATGAACATCCTGGTAGGGTGAACAGTGGTGGCCTTGATGAATGTTAGGTGACAGAAAAAAAAAAAACATTAAGTGTCTCAAAGAGAATCTACCCACTTGAGGGAGGACACATCTGGTGATCTGTATTTATCATAGCAGTCTAAGATAGAGGTTCTCAGGTCTGGCTGGAGATTACAATCCCCTGATTACCTTTGGAAGATACCTATGCCCTTGCTAAACTGTAATATTCTCATTTCCCTGGTTGAGGTTGGGGTCCTGAGAATTACGATACTTTTTAAGCTTTCGGATGATTTAATTATGCAGGCTCTATGAGAACCACTGCTCTAGTAGGCATCGTATTTCCACGTGCATCAGAAACACCTAGAATGCTATTAAACTTGAGGATCCCTGGACCCAAAAAGAGTTCCATAATCTGGACCCATCCAGATATTGAGGTGTCTGTTATGGGATCAAAGAATACGTACTTTTTTAAAAGATGCTCAGGTGATCCTTATGCACATTCAAGTTTGAGACTCATTAGCTTGAATATTCAAGGTACAGGAAGGGTTCTGGCAAACACATATGGCTAAGACAGAAAGTCCTTCTTTGGTACCTAATTGCCCTGGTACCATGCTAAGCTTTGGGAAACAATGGCTAAACATTGTATGAACTAAAAGAGTTCTAAGCTTGGAGTGCAAAGGAAGGGCATGACAGAAACATAGACAGGGGATAAAAAAAAAAAAAGAGCATCCATATAGTTTAGATGAACATCTGCAGCATGGTATAGGAGAAATCCCCAAGATGCAGGCTATAAATGAGCTGATGTGATTCTGAAGTTCTTTCTACACCTGTCATTTGGAAGCAGGACTGACCCTTTTAAATTCTTTAAACTTAGTAAGTGCTGATGGCTCATGGACAAAGTTGCTCCAAGGATGCTCAAAAAAAAGAATTGATAACCAGAAAAATACGGAACTTTTTACTAATCGGGACATGCCAGAGCCTCAAGGATGATATATCTGGAAAATAAGACATCTGATCATATGAGAATCCTAACTGTGAAGAGGGTTGCACTGCTTATAACTAAAAGAAAATTAAAAATTACCAAACTAAAATTGGGTTCTTTGAAATGAGACTACTTTTACCTATTCGTACAAATTAACTCTTTGAAAAAGACTTGAATATAAATCTTTTGAGAAATTAGATAATAGTGACTTAGGTTCTCTATTAAGGGTCTTTCTTACAAATTTTATTTCAGAATTGCTCCAACCACTATCCTATTATGTGACACCAAAAAGAAAAACAAAATGAAATAACACGTCTACCAATACAATTCCAGAAACAATTTATTTTGTGCAGATATATAGTATTCACATAAATTGGAATGCCTTTTCCCTATATACCTGCACTACAAAAAATCTTATGTACTTCAGCTAGCTGAAAAGAAAAAAAAATGTGTAAAATTCTCACAGCTATTCTCAGAAACCCACTCAGCACTTTACACTCCTCATCTGAGATTTTAGACAGTGTACTTTTGGAATAAATTACTCATACAATGTTATCCAAACACGTAGCAACAGCATCATTTGTACAATATATTGAAAATCTCTCCTACATCTCAACTTGTTTGGAATCTGACTTAGAGGAAACCCAACAATTCAAACACAGAAATGCAATCTGAAATGAACTTCCTACAATTAGGGCGAGGAAAATACAAATGTTTGGAAAGGAAACCATCTGGTCTCTCAATTTTGTAAATCTTCAAAATCATTTCTAAAACACTGAAAACTGGGTGGTTTGAACTGTAGAAAAGACTGATCATACTAAGAGCACAGCTTCTTAGCACACCACAAAACTACATATACACAGACAATTGTATCTGTATTTATAGGTGAAGCATGTATATGTGATATCTAATGATTACACATGTTCTCCTTTGAGCTGAAAGCCTTGTTAACAAGACGGGGCAAAAAAAATGTTACCCCAGAGATAATTCACCACAAAATCTTCTCAGTGAGATTAGCAAAAATTAAAATGATTATTTTAAAGTAAAATTCCGTATTTAATTCTAGGTTGATTATATCCATTTACTTATTTTATTCATATAAAGCACAACAATTTTTACGTAAGTGATATAGGACAGGCTGTTCCTGGCAGGTTGAAAGCATGGGAGGAATCAATATGATTTGTGGGTTACATGTGTGGGTTATGAATCAAGTTAAGCAAGCTTAGTCCATCAATATTGGGAAAATGGTGTAAAGATAAATAAGAAAATTTCTTCAACAAATAAATGCTATGAAAAAGGGTGCTAGAACTGTTGTTAGATTAAAGTGACCTAAGAAATACACGAAGCAGATGCAGTGTGGAGACCTTTTAAAGCCTTAGTTTGAACAAACTAAGCATAAATATTTTTGAGACACTGGAGAAAAATTAAACAGGTTCAAATATTAGATAGTTGGAAAGAACTGTTGATTTTGTTTGATGTAATAATAATACTATTGTTATGTTAAAATGCTCAAGTATTTATGGATGATATGTATCTTACTTGGAAGTTGCATTAAAATACGCTAGGAAAATTCTTTTTGTGTGGAGAGTGACAGATGACCAAGAATACCAATATGTTAAGAACTGCTAAACCCAAGTAAATGATGACTACATGGCTAGTACTCTTTATATTAGTCCCTCTATTTTTGTGTATCTTTGAAACTTCCCATAAATTTAAAATAAAAGGTTAGTCCGTTGAATAAGTAGAATTAATTCTAGAATGTTTCCATGTAAACTGAGTTTTAAGATATGTTTTAAAGAGAAAAACAATAACGGTTCATGGACTGAAAGGGAATAGATAACATGGGCTGAGCTAAGAGGATGTGGATGTCTGTGTTATGTATACATGAATGCGTGAATGGAAGGCTACTGCTGCAGCTCTGAAGCACATCAAAATGAAACTCTGAGTAACTGCTCATCTTCATTTTTGAAGAGGGATGAAATTTCCTTAATATTCGTTTGAGAAGAAGATGTTCTATCAGTCAGTGAATTACTCTTCCACCTGTAAGGCCATGCACTCATTTTGTTTGAGTAATCAGAGTGAAATAAATTGCCTGATCTAAAATGCGCACATAGAAGTTCATTACATAAAACTGAATAGGATCAATGCCTTAGTGCACTGAAAGCTGTTGGATTATATGTAGCAAATGGTTCAAAGAGCTCTGTGACCTTATTTATTAAATTGAACAATATTAACATGGTTTAAACCACTGCACTAGTGTCTGAGTAGCATTAGAGACAGAACATGATCAGCTCACTGAGTAATTAAATGAGTGACTTTTTTCCTACAGTTTTAGGGAAAAAATGGCAATAGTGAGAATGAATCATGTAGAAATGAAGAAGCAAAGCTTAATGCAAGTGGGAGCTAGTTTCCAAGAGACCTAATTGTGCTTAGAAGT